AATCGCGATCGTTGGCGGATCAAAGTTTCTTGCGGATGATGAGCGTTCGCAGTGAGCCGAAACATCGAACGAAACGGTGATATGATTTGCGTCCTTTCCTTGTTTTAATCGGACAGAATGTATGTTTATATATTTATATGTTTTTCATATTTTTTTTTCATTTCTGTTTACATCCTACAGGGAAAAAACAATTCTGATTGGTGCTACTGAATTTTCTGTTGTCTGGGGACCAGGCAAAAATGTATTTTTTTATCTATTTTTATCACTCTAATATATTCGTGTTAGTATATCGATGCACTTCCGATTCGTTTTATAGATTATCAATATGGACCTGGATTTCCCGGACTAGGTTTACTCACCCCCTGGCTAGATACGACGTATTTCGGAAGCCCCTGGTCACACATAACGTCACCTGTTATAATTAAAGGTATGTTCCGTCATGTTCCGAGCATGTAGATTTGGTATTATTTCTCGCGCGAGAATATTCCATTCTTCGAAGAAGCTCGTTAAAGTAGAAACTCGAAATTGAGAGTAGTTGTGTCATTGTTTGCATGTGCAGCAGGAATCGGGACTTGAATGTTAATAATTAATCCCGTAGGGAAAGGCAGGAAAAGGCAGGGTTATCATTGACGACCCCAATAAGACGTTTGTTTATTTATTATATTATTATAGAGCATTTTGAAAAATATATTTTTGCTCATTGTTCCATATGATTTGCGTCCTTTCTTTGTTTTAATCGGACAGAATGTATGCTCATATATTTATATATTTTACATATATATATTTTTTTCCTGTTTACATCCTACAGGGAAAAAACATAGGGAAAAAACCAACAAGTTAGTGCTACTGAATTTTCTGGTGTCTGGAGACCAGACAAAAATTCAATTGCAAGAACAGAGCAGAAAGATTTCTGTAGGTGGTTTCCACTTAATCAATTGTTTTCATTTTTTTAGAGTTTTAATGAAGTTGAATGTTCACACGAATGTTCTCAGTTGCGTTAACAGGGGTATTATTTTTTGTCGTCGAAATTTTGCTTCGAAATTATGTCGTCGAATTTTCATTTCTTGTTATCAAGTTTTCATCTGGTTCCTACTCTGCTGCAGGAACTGGATTCTTTTTTCTGTATCCATTTTTCTTCGCGCAGGTTAATAGTAATAGTATAATTAATAATAGCAATATCAACGTGTATAATATTGTTACACCTGTGTCTTGATTCCCGCGCATTTAGCGCTCTGAACGTACAGCTGATTCTCTTGACAACGAGTCGTCAACAGCAGATGATTAGCGTTGACCGATAATAGTAATGTGTAATATTGTATTCATTGAACACTACTCTCATTTCATTGTTTCTTAAAAAAACGTTAACACGTTCATTATTAGGCTTTTATTTGGAGGATCCTCCCATAGGCCATTTCATATATTTTTTTACATAACTGTGTAAAATAGATTTAGTTTAATAACGTGGACATACATGGAAAAAATCGTGTTGAATTTACCAGACATTGAACAAACCAAACACGTTTTGGTTGAAGGAAACAATTTCTGGTTCTTATGATCCTATTTGGTTTTTATAACCCGAAATTCTATTTCCTTCAACCGAAATACGTTTTGTCCGTTCATTGTTTCTGGTAAATTCAACCAAACTTTTTTTCCGTGTAGAAAAAAATTTTATCGTCACAAATATATGACGCTGGTCTCCCGCGAGAGATCACTACGTCGCACATGTGTGACGCTAGTAGCGAACGTGTTAAATAACTTACTCAGTAGTGAGGTCGCATTTTTTTACACGCATTCCCGTCCCTCCAACCCACTTTCTCTTTCGGTTTACCATAAATTATAAATCGTAAAGAAGTGCGCGTCATGTTTCGCATTATCTTCCTTCTACAAATCCTACTATAAATTGTACAAAGTCGCCACGCGCTTCGCAAAAAGGGGTAAAAAACGAGAGTAGGATCGAGCGGGAAAAATCTCTGTGCATCACGGAGCACAAAAAAGAGTCTCAAAAGAGAGGCCACGCTGGCTAGAGAGAGTCCACGTTATCGATTTCGTCGAGTCCGCGACGCCTGCTGATGATTCATACCCCCTAGCTGGACCTAGGGGTGAGTCTGAGCTCCCTTTTCCCACAGCGGACCCCTTTTCGACCCCCCGTCGCCTCACTTCACTCTCTCTCTCTCTCTCTCTCTTTCTCTCTTCCTCTCACCGTCGCTCGCGTACATCCCCGCCGTCGTTGAAACAACAATGCGACTTACTACTACGCTCGCCCCCGCGAGCTGGCCGAGATTAACCGATTCTCTCTCTCTTCGTCATCGTTCAGGGTCCCTGCCGATACCAGCGCACCCGGAATTGTTCTCGGGCTTCACGCCGCCAGTTGTGTCATACCCGTTTATGCCGTACCCACCAACAACGACCACCTATGAACCGACCAGCACGGTGACGACGACGACGACGACGACGACAACCACGACGACGACAACGACGACGACCACGGGCATGCACGCGAACAGTCCGTCCAGAAGCGCGTCGTCACTGAGCCCCAACAGTGGATCTAGCAGCGGGTTCAGCAACGGATCCGAGGGAGCAAGAGGTACGTGTGGCGAGGAGGCTCGAAGTGCCTTCATACGCATCAAATTAAAGACCAGCGAGCCGCCGAGGCCATCCACGACACCGGAACGAAACTCATCGTCCCCCGAAAAAGATTGCAGTGAGACGAAAAAAACGAAGGTGCCGAAGCCAGTATGGAGGCCGTACTAATCCAAGTAGGCGAGCAACAAGGCATCGATACTCGATTCGAAACGCGGTGAGGAGAAATGACGGATGAAAGTCCTGCCGCAATTGTCAATAAGCAATTATCATATATTGTATAAACAGTGGCAAACGCGTACATATGTAACGTAAACTTATAATAATTATTTACGTGAATACTATTGAGAGAAATAGTATTGAGAGAAAAGAATTATACTTAAAAAGTATGATTCAAGCAGTAAACGCAATAATGAAATAAACTCTCGCCTAGCGCCGCGTGCAGATAGCGAACCGGCAGTAACTACGAAGTGAGACTCTCCAATGAATTTCGCAAGCCGATGAATGAGTGTCTCATCTTCGTTATTGTCCTAATAATGATCTGAAAATCTATTATTTTTCGAAGAAATAATACTGGCACGATATCTAAAATATTGGCATTTAGAAGTGACAATACTTGTGGATAAAAAAACGTTCATGATAATAATCACGAAATTTTTTAGTTGCTTAAGTATAAATTTCTCGATATCGCGACAATTTGTAATATTAATATTTGTACAGCCACCAGAGAGTCACTACGCCTCGTTAAAATTTGGCGTTGATATCATAATATATGATAATTGTACACAGACAAGTACAGTGGGGTTCTGATTGGCCATTTCTTTCCCTCGTGTTCTGAATTGTCTCATCAAGAGCCCCGTACTGTACTATTTATATGTATGGTTACGTTGGAAGGCTAGTGATAATGTTTATGACGGACATCCGGAACGGCCCGTCCTCGATCCGAAGATAAAAAAATAAAAGTTTCCGAAGTAAATGACAAATCCTTGTTCTCATCGTATACCCGAATGTATTCTGCTTCTTCGGTTTTACGAAGACGCAGATGGTGAGCACGAAGAAATCACGGGACTAACGCGGGAATAGTGATTCAACCGGTAGCACAGTGGTACGACCGGTAAATCGATCGAAACCTAAATGTTGTTCACAATGCATTTTTTGTAAGTGTAAATAATTGTATATATTCGACTTGTACATATCGTGTAGATAGTACATGGACAATAATATAGCATAGAAAAGTGTGAAGACTTATGTATGCTACCGTCTCGGAATACTTAAAAATACACCAATTAAGACAAGTATAAATATTGTTACGTCCCGAGGTATCCCGGAACTACCTCCTCCCCCCCTGTTTTCTATCGCTCTTCTTTTTCGCTCTCCCTTTCCTACACTCTTCTTTCATCCCGGTAGTCGCCTGTTGACATCGTACCGTTTCTGCTTCCAAAATCAATTATAATGTTTGTAGTCTCGACCGTATCGTTATATTTTGTTTCATTAAAATAATTCACATCTTTTACTTACAGCTTTTCGAGCTTATTAAATTCAATTAAATTAGATCCGGCAGTCACTGCTGTCGAATAGCAGAAGTATCGTTACGCAGACTGACCACCAAATTTTAAGCAAAATAAGAATCTCTTCAAGGATCATCCGTGAAGGCTCCGTGACTTATCAGCGCGCGAAAGCCTAGTCCCCGCGTCATTTACCATTTATAGAAAATCTCATAACTTCCCTCATTTCTATTATTGTATTAAAATTCAAAATTGATCCGATAATTCCGCGCCTTCTGACCTTATTGTCTCACCGATCATGCTCGGTGTATGAAATGGGTTATGTTATGCGATTTTTAGATATCATGTGCAATTTAGATAAACTAAATTTTTCCGCTTCGTGAGAACGGATGTGCATGATCCGACTCTCGTCTTATCTCTGTAAACCTAAGACCACCGTGGAACACCAAGTCCGTTGGTGTTCCCACCGAAAATGCTGACCATTGCAGTTGCGGAAAGAAGAGGGAGACTAGAACGAGCTTATAAATAAAAACCTCTTCTTTAAGCAGTCAGTTCAGAGTTCCAAGTTCCGAGTCTCAAGTCTTGAGTCGTCAGTTGTCAGATTCAGTTCTATTCAAAACTAAGTTTTGAGTATCGGTCTCCTTTTCAACCTTCGCGGTTCTTAGTGAAGTCACTTCGGTACCCAGTCAATCACGAGAAATCGCATCTCTGAGAAAATCCGTGTGGTGCATCAGCAAGTGCCAGATATTGTGAGAAATCTCAGCCATGCAGCCTGCCTCCCCTCCCTCTTCTTTCAAGGGCAAAGTACTTCTTTCAATCTACTATATTGAACCAGCCGACATCGAAAGTCTACCTTTATAAACTAATAATAATAACACGAGCCGGTATCCATACTTCAATACAGTCCGACGCAGTTAATCTTAGTCTATCCCTTCGGGTCATTGCGAAAAACTTGTTGCCATCTCGACCGAGAATAATCCAAATTTCGTGAAGACGGTAATAAATTATATTACTATTTCGTTTTATTTTGTTCTTGTCTCTTTTCTTATAGTCCTGTTATTCCGATCCCACTTCAAAACCACGCGTAAAATCTTCCCACCTTCCCTCTCGGCTTAATTAGCTGCTAAGCGTGGCGGAGCCGCTCCCGCTACGCATGTCGCGGACCGTCCAGGACGTAACAATATCTTATATCTTATAAAGATATTTTTTTCAATTTATTTTTTCATTATATGCGTAATCCGAGATTAATGCATAAAATTAGTTCAAATAAACGTTACATAACATGATTAATTTTTGAAGGGTATATAAATCGATACTGTGAATTGTTACTCTGCCAAAATAATTGATTTCGAAATTTGCAACTGAATCGGTCCCTGTAATCACTACGTCGAAATCACGAAGGAGCTATTGTGAAACTGTCCGAGAAGGTTTCGATATAAAATCATTTCGTTCCTTCCATCATACACTTGTAATAAATTATTATTAGTATCTATATTGTACTCGGTAAGTTTTTAATTTCAGCCTTTTCTCGCGAATGAAAAGTCCACTTCAATTAAAACGATTATCAAAATCTCTCAGTGTCGTGATCTTAAATAAGAATGTTACCATTTAATCTGTCGAATGATGTCAACATAACAATTTCAAATCTTTCAAAATTTCAAAATTAATTCAAAATCGTAATCAAGAACGGTTCCATAATATCTCCTCTAATCACACAAAACTAAATCTGTAAAGAAAAGCGCTCACGTCAAAGATTACGCAAGAGCGTAAAAGTAGCTCGAGAAAGAATTCCGAATAGGTCAAAAAGGGGCACAACTGACGCGAAACCCACGTCAGAAAAAGAAACCTATTGAAGAAAGAATCAAAAAGGTCGCAACATGTGTTTTTCAACGTGCTCTGGAACAAACGAAAACAGCTCCAAAAGAGTCCGACGATTTTTAATTCATTTTGAAACTAATTAATTTGAATAACGTTGCAATCATTGCGTAATTAGGCCATTATCCAAACGAAACAATAAAAATCTATGATCAACAATCTACGGCTTGAGCTTAGATATTAGCCTGGTGAAAGGCAATTTTGATTAAAAAATTTAAAAAATATAGTTTTAATAAAAACATAATTATACGTTTACTTAGTCTCCCACACGGTAGTGTACATACGTATATTGAGTATGTATCTGCAAGAGAGAGGGTGGATATAAATAAATTAAAATATTATTGTAAATGATACAGATTCTTAGATGTACAATCAATGAAAAGGAAAAGAAATCTACGAGAGCATGAATCGCTAATACTAATAACGTTTATGTATACTGATAATGGACCTTATAAAGATAAATGTTTCAAAGCGTGCATGCACTAAACATTTCGGTTCGCACTTCGAAACCTTCTCGATGATTTTCTACCTCTTACTGTAAGCCCTCCTTCCTTTTCGTCGATTGTCAAGAAACGATAACTATAAATGGCAGAGATGCTAGAAGTGTAATTTAATGTAAATCGGTTGTATGTGGATCTAAAAGAATGCAAGAAGAAGAATAAAATCAAACTCTACGTAAAAATACCTGTGACAATCCACTGTGTTTAATCGCGCATTGCACTTTTCACTCCGCTCCCTTTCATCTCCGCTAAAATGATATTTAACGATCGATCACTATTACATCACAGAAATGATCGATGCCGTCGCTCGCGCGGCCGTTCGTTCATTTTCGAAAGTGTCAAAAAAATCGAATCGAGCGATTCAGACGTTGCGAGCAGAAAGGAAGAATATGAAAGAGAGCGGAACGTCGTGCTCCGTGCCGCTGCAAGGGGAATCCATATTTTTTTTTTGTCGCGATTTAAATCTGAATGGTCGTACCGCCGCGCGGTCGTTCCCCGACTTCTTCATGTGTGCGCGCTGGGGATTCCACACACAAGTATCCTCACACAAGGGAATCCCGAGCATAAGGGTGGAGAATGGTTTATATCGAGGGGAGTATGTGAGATCTGTATTAGTACCTATAGGCTCGGGACATCAGCGGCTCTCAAGTTTCGAGCCTCCCGAACAAATCCGACGGATCAGTGGTTCTTCGCGCGAGGTCGTCGGAATCGGCCCAACTGTGTGAGGGCGATTTTTCGCCAAATGATCGCACGCCCAAATTCGTGCACTTTTCATAAAAACATAAACACACCGCTCGTTCGCCCGCTCGACGACACTTGGCGACGTTCGGTTCATTCAGCGAGATATCGCATAACGTGAAATGTCCGTCGGGACTGTGCCGCATCACGCTGAAACACGACCTGGGGTAAGGGATAGTTTTTTTTCTGAATTGTTCCGGTCGTGTTTGTCAACCGGTGCACAGAGTTCGAGCGCAGTTAATCTCGGTGACGTCGAATAACTCAATTTTCGCATTCCGACTGCAGGTGCAAACGTATACGCAAGCGAGCAAACGCGCGCGCATCGTCGATATGTACCCTAGGATCGAAAACGTTGCAGAAATTCGATACGTGGCGCGTAAACGCGTCAACACGATGTAAAATCTTGATCAGATCGCCTTGATTAAAAATCGCGATCGGGCGCGGCCTGAATTTCCAAAAGTCACCGGTCGCTGCATCGACGGCGATCTCTCTCCCTCTTTCTCTCGCGTAGCTTTTGCGCGGAATTTAATGGAATTAGCCCCGGCGAGAAAATGAGAACCGCGTTGACACCCCGTGTGTAGTCGCGGGGCTCTGTTCGTTGACGAGTAGACAACGGAACCAAGCAACCATGAAGGGTCGCCACACGAACCGAGCCGAACCGATCCAAGCCAATCCGGCGCGCGAGCCAGCCGGTGCTAACTAATGTTTGCTCAAAGAATCGTCATGTATAATTGAGTCAGCGGCGGCAAGGGTGGAAAAAATCAACGGGCGTACGCGCGAGTCCCCGGGAATGAATAATCGACTTTCGGTGTACGCAGACCTCCACTCGCGTTTCCAGGTTACAAAACCGCTCTTATTAGGAGAATCGTTTGGCGTTTTGCGCAGGGGGCGTCGCGCCCCGAACCCTCTCGCGACCGGGAACGCAAGCCGGGAGGGGAAAATGAAAATTTCTCGAGATAATTACGTTAATTATAGCAACGAAATTTGCATGTATATTTCCGCGAAAATTCTTGTAACGATCCAGCTCGCGCGCATTATCGAATATGAAAGATTCATACGGCGCGAAGTAAAAATTTCAATAATACATATATGCGCGCATGCACACACACTGCGAACACGTCAAATAAAATTCACTTCGATTATTCAGTACGTCGAAATAAAATCGAATTATTTTAACTATTCCAATTAGCCCCGAGCGCCCGGCGGAGATCGACGTGTAACCGGTCGAACGAGGACTCCACGAGCGATTGAAGTATAATGCGACGCGGAAGGAGCGGTTGATTCGCTCCGTCGACACGCCAGAGAGAGGACGTCGATCCTCTTCGCCGCCCGGTCTAGGATCGTGAGGACCCTGGGGTTTGAGGGTCCTAGAGTTAGGCAATCAGCGCTGATGAGGGGGGTTGGTCGAGGGGTGAAGGGCTCGGACAATTAGTAACTACCCCGCGCCCGTCCGCCCTCTCGCTGTGTGTCGCTCTCGCCCGGTTCACCTGCCCAACAACGCGCCGACCGCAGGCGTTACGCATGCGAAAGAGGCTGCGCCGCCTCTGCACGCCGGGATGCTGCGTTTACGTACGTAGCTCGCGTTGTACGCGCCGAATTACGCGCTCGTAAAGGTCTCTCTTCACGGCTGCACAGTGTCAACGCGATCGCGCGAGGTAAATTCGTCAGGGCGGGTTTACGTCGATAATAAATGGGCCACCGCCCCCGAAAGAGAACGGACGGCTCGGATCTCGTCGCTCGCAACGCCGTCAAATACGTCGACGAGATGGAAACAGCGCGAATCTCCGCCGTTGTTTCTTCGCGGATAACGCAGCCGAATTTGCGAGCCGGGGGTTATCTCCTTGAAATCAACCGCCGCGACGGCGGTATAATAAAACAGAACGGGAGGAGGACGCGCCCGCAGCGCGCTACTCAAAGGACCTTTATCGTCGTCCCTGCGAATCCCTCGAACTAGTCTAAAAAAGAATCGTCCCCACCCAGGCGAGCCCTCCCTTGAGCGGTACACTAATTGTTCCTAGGATGAAACGTGTCGAGGATTACACGGTGTTTCGCGGGAGCCGGGAGGGGGACGACGTGCGGCGGGAGAGACCGCGGAAATAATAAGCCTCTTTCGAGAGGCTTTCAACAACGACGACGACGACGACGACGAAGAAGAAGAAGTCGAGGAGTGGAACGACTATCCTCCTCTTCATCTTCCCGACGACGACACACAGAATCGCCGTCTTCGGGAGGCGCCCCGCTCTCGAACTTAACGTCTTTTACGTCGTGGCTGCCGCGCGCGGGCGACGGTAAAGACGAACGCGACGTCGCGCGACCTTAGGAGAGAAACCTTCGCTTAACGAGCTGTTTTGCATCGCAATGCCTCGACCTCGTTATCGGTTATCGACCCGCGCTCCCGCGGCCGTCGCGGATTAAAGAGTACCTGCGCCACAGTCACGTGCACGTCGCCGGTGGTGCGTTCACGCACGCGTTCGTCTCGTCGAGGCGCGGTCGCTCGCGTTTGACCGTCGATCGCGGCGGCAAGAGAGAGAGAGCCGTCGGCTCGTTCGTTCGTCCGCTGAAAAGGCGAATCGTTTCGCGGGAATCGTCGATTTTCATGCCCGCGCTAAATCGGCGCGCGGTCTCGCTTCGAGGAACGCGGATCGATCTTGCGCCGCGCGTTTGTTTCCGAGGGAAAACTTGTTCGCTCGTGGCGAACGAGCGGCACACACCGGTGCTTTTGTTCCTTTGCGTGTTGGAATTTTTCTCTCACTCACTCGCTCGCCCGCTCCAATCAACCCACTACGCGATTCTTCTTTTGTTCCACCGTCGTTCTTTTTTTTTTTTCATCCGAGGTATCGTGAAACTACCGAGCGCCAATCGCCGCCGACGGGATCTTACGTCGCGTCCACCGGTCTGACGAAATGGACGAGACGTATCGCACTCTTTCTAACCAGTGGTTAACGTAAAGGGTTGTTGACAAAAAATGATAAAAAAAATCTACGTAAATCAATAAAGAAGGATTTATGACACTATTTAGGGTTACGAAGAACGCCTGAGGAACCGAAACAAACCTATTACCTGTACGATGCCGTCTGTATTTTATGATTTACCTAGCTTCGTGAGATACCTTCACCCAAACCGGCCAACAATCAAAGGCAAACTAACTAACAAAGTTCTTATTTTCAGCTAAAAAACGGAAAAAGAAAGAAAGCGTTGTAAACGTCTCAGTTATTGAATCTTCTTTCAAATACAATTGACGGAAAGATTCGGTTATCCAAGATAACAAGGAATTTTTATCTGTACGAACAATTCTAGAAGAATATTTACATTCTACGATAACCTTGATGCGATAACCCGGCTATAAAATTTCGATTTTGAAAATATGGTAACGACAATAGCTTTGAAGATATGGTAACAACAATAGCTTTGAAGATATGATAACGACAATAGCTTTGAAGTGATAGTTTCGGTAATCTTTCTCAGGCATGTCTGTGATATTCTTTTCTAGATATTATCTCATAAATATCATGCGTATATTCTTGTCTCGCCGATTTGCGAGCCTGCAAGTCCCGCAACGAAGCCAAGTTACGCGACTCGCATACGCGAATGCCGCGATTTCAGCGCACGCCGTACCTGACCCGCTTCAAAACCCGTGAAATCGGCCCCTCGATCAAATTCCTAGGTAAGTTCGAAGCGTTCGTACCGGACCCTCGGCTTCTTTTTGCGAGGGTCCACCCAGTTCCCACCCAGTGGCAGAACGGAACTCATCAGTCCGGGAGGAAGTGGACACGTCGGAACAATTTCCTTACACCGGCTCTCCTTCCACCGTCCTCGTACAACCCGACACCACCCCCTCGGGCGGCAGCCTCGTTCTCTCTACCCCGTCATCGCAGCCGCTACTGAAATTCTGACCCCTCAGCGATTGACCAATTTGCCAAATCGATTCACGTCGAAATGAACCTACGTAATATCTCCAGTTGCCCCCCTCTCTCTTTCTCTCTCTCACACTCACTCACTCTCGCTCGCGCGTTCCTTCACATAACCCCGGAGAAGCTCGTAGGCTTCACTTTGCAAAGCGCGAAATGTGGAAATCGCCGGCGACGGTTCGGATGCGAAAGCAATGTTCCCCAAAGACTCGCGAAAGCCACGTTACTACGAGAATATTACGGAGGAATTTAACTGCCGAGAAATTTAATACTGCATATCGAAAACATGCAACTAATAACCTCGACGCGGCGCTAGAAGCGCTCTATTTTTAACAGGTGCGAATGCAGTTACAGCAATGTATACCGCGCGTAAAACCTATCGAGATCACGGGAACGTCAACGAGAAGATGCATTTGCGCTATCTTACACTCCACCATCGACGGAAAGAGGGTGGAGGACGAGGACTAGATTAGGGTCTACACGTACGTGGCAAAAGCACCCTGACAT